TGCGTCGATGTTATCGCGTGATCATGATTGATGAGCAAAGCGCATGCGATGTTGTCGCGCGATCATGCTTGATGAGCGTAGCACGCATGCAGAAAGAGCACCCCCCCAAAAGCAATTGCACAAAAACACGTGCAATTGTCTTTTTTACTATATGTTTTGAAGTTAAAGTATTTGTTATAACGAAAGGTCAGACGCAAACGCGTTTCGCCGTGCGGAGTTTGAAACACCGGCTCGGTTCTCAAGCCTTTCTTGTAAAACCCGTGGTCTCAACAAGATGTCTTTTCCACAAGAAAGCCGTGTGCCCAGGAAAAGGGTTTCAATGATTTACAAAAGGGGTGGTGCGCAGCCATTTGGCTTCTGAACGCGGTGCTGCGGTGCACGCCTGCCGCGTGCTGAGCTCAGTTTTTCCCCACACCCCGCCACACGGTTTGGCTCACGCTCGCCGGCGCGGCCCAGGTGGCAGCCCCTGCGTTTCCTGGGCTCGGTGCTTGCGGCGACCTGTCCGGGTGAACCTGTTTTTCCGATTATCGTCGCAGGGTCGAGATGCGAGTTTTGAAAGCTAAAGCTATATATATATAGTATGATTGTCTAAACATAAACCTATAAAAAAGCTGGCGCTACCGAATATTGGTTACAGCCATCTTGCAACTGTGAGCTCCATGGCAAAGCAAAAGCATGCCCAGCTTCCAGCAACTGTTTGCGGGCTCGGTAGTTTAAACTTGTAGGCCAGGCAGGTCATGGAGCTTCCCGCTGCCGCACAGATATCAACATGGAAAAGTGTCCGCCCCTATCCTGTATTCATAAGGTTTTTTTTTGTTTGGGTTTGACTGGTGCCTGCGTCTTCAAAAGGTAGGTTACTGCAAGGGCGACAAACGCTCAGGTGCCGGGAAGGTTCCATGGAAGGAAGAAGATGTCAGGGCACTGGCATTTGAACTGAAGGCAGGCCTACCCCTTCCAGTGGTGCAAGTGCTGACCAGCGCTGATTGGCATGGCGGAAAGCTGACCCAATTGGATGAACTGGTGAAGCCTAGTGTCGAGGACATCAAGTTGAACTTTGCTTGGGTGGCGCCTTTTGTAAAGGCCTCGCCTGACAAAGTTCCGTCAGGCTCCATGATAGCAGACACCTTCCTGATGTGTGACCAATTCTTCATGGGCAAACTCCTGCAGCCAAAAGAAGCTGGTGACACAAAGCAGACCCTCGCAGCCGCAGAGGTGACCAATTGCAAGCGGCTGATTGGCGCGCTGCGAGGGCTTTGGCGTTCGAGTTTCTAGCATTTGCATTTTCTTCTGACAAGTTGTTAGGTTCCTATTTGTTGCCCCTGATCGCTGCACGTAAAAGGTTCACGAGTTTTTGTGTGCTTGACAGTGAGGCAAGCTTGGCAACCACCCTCAGATCACCTACTTGAAGAGCTTGTTGGTGAGGTCTCCCACTCGGTCATGGACTTCCGCCGAGGAAGAAGATGCTGCGCAGGAGGTTGGTGAGGAGCATGCTGATGACCAGCAGCCTTTGAACAATGGGCCTGCTGAGGGTGGATCGGATGTGGAAATGGTTGAGGCTGATAGCCAGGATGTGGTTGAGGCTGATAGCCAGGAT